ACGCTCCTCTCCGGGTGGGTATCTGAGTTGCACGCTCCCCTCTCAGGGGGGGTACCTGAGTTACACGCTCCTCTCCGGGTGGGTATCTGAGTTAGAAGCTCCTCTCCGGGTGGGTATCTGAGTTGCACGCTCCTCTCCGGGTGGGTACCTGAGTTACACGCTCCTCTCCGGGTGGGTACCTGAGTTGCACGCTCCTCTCCGGGTGGGTATCTGAGTTGCACGCTCCTCTCCGGGTGGGTATCTGAGTTGCACGCTCCTCTCCGGGTGGGTATCTGAGTTGCACGCTCCTCTCCGGGTGGGTATCTGAGTTGCACGCTCCTCTCCGGGTGGGTACCTGAGTTACACGCTCCTCTCCGGGTGGGTACCTGAGTTACACACTCCTCTCCGGGTGGGTATCTGAGTTAGACCAGGTTCATCAAATCCGCTTCCTGCTTTTGGGAGCAACTGGTTTCCAAGTGAGAGACATTAGCAGCGTCCCAGCTGAACAGTTTCACGGGACCCATTTATTACCAAGTTGGAACCGAGAGGTTGTGCTATAAACTTGCTGCTCCGAGGCTGAGAGGATATGGCTCAAGAGTCAATACTTACAATGAGAGAAGAATGAACCCAAATTTGCGCAGCTCTCCTGGGCTGCCTGTGTGCTGCTGTGAGCCACTCCGGCCGCGGTGGGATGAGACCTCCACTGTTACTGCCGTCAAACCCAGAGATGGCAGGAGAGGGAGACCAGCTAGTTGGTGCAACCAGCGCCTACACCTGCTATGGAATACAGGCCCGGTCCCCCGACGCAGTGACACTTCCTCCCGCTGCTTGCAAGCTGGCCCCGCTGAGCCCCAGCTTACGCCTCTGATGGCTGCCGGGCCCTGGGAAGTAGCTCACCAGTGCTGTGCGGGGTCCACGGGAGCAGCCTGTAACTTTTCCCTCTTTCCTCTTGGGCCAGATGGTGCGCCTTCACTTGCTGTCCTGCCTCCTCCTCCTGCCGCTGGCCGCCTGCTTTCCTCTCCCGGACAGAGAAGCGCCCATGGACACCACGGGTGACACTGGAGGCGGAATGAGCTGGGCCGACCTGGCGGGGGGACACGTAGCCCACTTCCCGCGGAGGCTGAGAGCTCCACACCCACAAGCCCTGCTCGCCATGGCCAAGGAGCTGCAGATGTCAGGCCGAGCGCGTGCCGGCTTCGGGCTCCGGTTCAGGAGGCAGGATGACGGCCTTGGGGAAGCCGGCTCCCTCCTGGCTGATGGCAAGAAGGCTGGTAGCCAGTTAGGGACCCTGGCCGACGAGATCAGCGGCCACAACAAGAATAAAGGCGGCTTCCACTTCCGCTTCGGCCGGCGGTGAAGGGCCCAGGGCAGCCTGCCCAGGGTTTCCCCTCGGCCCCCTCCCCGCCTCCAAGAGCCTGAAAAGGGGTGGTATTACTGTAATAAATGATTAGCTGGAGGACTGGTTAAGTGGTGCTTTTGATTTCCAACTTTGCTGAAGCAAAAACCTGCGTCGTGTCCAAAAGGAGGTGACCAAAAGCAAGCTGCCCCCTGCGGCGGGTCTGAGGGCCCTCGGGCCCTGCTGGTCGTGAACATGAACAGGCAGCTGGCTGTGTGGGCTGCGAGCTACAGGTAGGAAGACTGATCACAGTGGGGCAATCAAAGCTTTGACAGTCTCCATGGTGATGTCCGGAGCGGACATCCAAGTGCAATGGTGGATGAGTGCATTCCACTGGGCCGAGTATGGCTCTGAAAGTTAGAAATGAGAATCTTGTTCTTCACCCCATTAACACACGTTCCCTCCGGCAAGAATCTTGCTGCGGTGCCGAGACGCCCTTCCGAACCAGCTGCCCACTCCCTCCCGATGACCGCCCTGCTCGGTGGCACCGTCTTTGTCCAGTGTCTCGTGGGAGATGGACAAAGAATACGTTTCTGCTGCAGCAAGGCTGCACTGCAAATGCTCCGAATATGAGATGTGGTGTGTGCACCTTTTGAAATAAAAGCGGTAACAACTGCAAACGCTCAGGGAAAGCTTGCCTGCCTCTCGCCTCGAGGTCCTCTGTGCCCTGGGCACCTGGCCTTCCTGGGCTGCCAGTGCCTGCACTTTGGGGAGATGGCAGCTGCACACCTCCAGCACCCCCTAATTGGCTGCTGGTAAAATGCCCGTGGTCAGAGGGAGAGGGGAACACACGCGGTGCATTTCCTCCGGCACTCGGCTGCCCCTCCCTGGTCTCCTCCAAGCGGGGAGCACTCTGAAAGACAGTTCTCTGCCCGGGCGGCTGCTCAGGCTGGAGGGGCTGCAGCCTGGGGCGAGGTGGGGCATCGCTACTAACGCTGCTCTGGTGTGTTCTCTCCCTCCCCGCCCCCCGCCCCCCACACACACACCTGTCTTGTGTCAGACTCTGCAGTCTGACGCTTCTCACTCCCCGGCTGCTTCAACTGCTGAGAAGACCTGTATTGATGTTACCATGGCAACATCTCCCTTCCTCCTTGGGAGCTGCTGCTTGCCCCTGTTCGCAACTGAATAATTTTCCATTGAGCTGTCACAATTAATTGGTGGATTTTTATTAGCCTTTTAGGACCACGCTGGGCGGGACCCAGCTTGGCACCGTGGCGCATTTCGCCGTGTTTTCCAGTCTATTAGCGACTTGCATTCCCCAGCAGCAGCGCTCCGTCCTTGGCAGCTAGAGAGCCGCTTCACTGAGGGGTGCACAGCTCTGAGCCACCAGCGCCGAGTGGGGCGCACGGGGTGGTGAAATGGGATGGGCTAGGCTGCGGCCAGCGGCCTCCCCCTGGCGCTCATGCTCCTCCCCGCTGCCCCGGCTCAGGTGCCCGGGGGAGGCACATGATCCTCTCACCTCCACCATGTCCACGGAGGGGGGATCCAGGGCTCCTCCTGCTAATGTAATGGTCCCATGGGGATGGAACCCCCCTCCCCCCGCCGCCCGGGGCTTTTTCTGTTGGTAACAGAGGCAGACACTCAGCCCTCAAGCCTCGGAGGACAAACCTCAAGCAAACAAGCCGCGTGTCCATAAAGGACAGCTCCGGCGCTCAGATCCTGTCCTAGGGTGGCAGATGGGACAAGCACCATGGCAGCCCAGCCGTCTCACCGTGGGTGCGCGTTCCCACCTGGCCAAGGCGGGGGTGGGAGACAGCAATCTGGATCACCATCAGCTCATACATACACACACACACACACACACACACACACGGGAACCACAGAGCGTGCTCCCGAGACCACGTGAGACAGACCAAGGACCAACAGCGGCAAGGGCCCCTGGCCGGCCCTCACCTGCTGATTCCCACCTGAGAACCTGAAAACGCACACCTTACAAGAAGAGCCATTATTAGCCATGGAGTCACCAAGGCTGCGACACTCCTGTGGGGTCAGATTAGACGCAGTGGTCGGCAAACCGCGGCTCTCGAGCCACACGCGGCTCTTTGGCCCCTTGAGTGTGGCTCTTCCACAAAATACTGGCTCTTCCACAAAATACCAACTTCTGTGCATGGGCCACGAAGTTTCAATCGCATTGTACGTGTGCGCCCGCATGTGGTATTTTATGGAAGGGCCACCCTCAAGGGGCCAAAGAGCCGCATGTGGCTCGCGAGCCGCGGTTTGCCGACCACGGGATTAGAGGAACCTTGATGAGGAGAGCAGAGGTGAAGGGGAGAGGCGGCCTTCAAGGCTATGGGTGTCCTGTCACTAGGCTCCCACCTTTAAACAGGAATCAACAACAGGGCTACCCTTCCCAGGTGCCAGGACATCCGCACCCAATAACCCTGAAAATCAGCACAACCCAGCTGCTAAGGGCTCTCGCCCGTTAAATCCACTCCCGATCCGTGTGGCTACCCTCCTCTCTAACCCAGCCCACTCGACCCCACGGGCTCTGTGGAGGTTTGGGGCCTCCCACGCTACTCCCGCGCCCGCCGCTCTCTCCGTGGTGGGGAAGGTTCCTCTCCAGACGGACAGGCTCCTGGCAAACAGCTCTGGAGGCAGAGTGAGCTCCCCTCCAGCGCAGGCTCCCGAGCAGTTGGCATCGCTCACCAAGTTTACTTCAAACACAAAAAAGTCTTCATCTTGGGTGTCGGTCTAAAGGTCTTTATTTAGCTACACACCTGGATGGGGAATATTTCCGTCTATATTTTCCCATGTGTTTGAAATACTAATTAAACTGCTTAAGAGAAGAAGAGGCTCGTGGGGGCAGGAAGCCATCAGGCAGCTGCTGTAGTGGACAAAGGGCCGCCGCGTCCCAACTGGCCCCCGTGCCCAAGACGCTGCGTGACACGTTCCACCGAAGACCCAACCCAGATGGGGCGCTGTGACCCTCCGAGCGAGCGGGGAGCTGGAGCCCCGCCCACGAGGCTGGGTGAGCACCAGGGATGAGGGCAGGCTCGGACAGGGACACAGTGGTCGGTCAGGCTTGTCCCACCGAGTGTCCTCTGCGCCGACACCTGGAAACTGGTTTCCCAGAGCACCCGATTTGGGAACGGCTCCTGTAAAATACCTTGAAACCCAAGAACGTGGGGGAGCTAATTCTTAACTGCTTCTCTTCCATGCGGGAGGGAGGGAGGGAGGAGCTGGCCCGGGAGCACAGGTCTCTGTGAGTCGTGCTGTGGCCACCTGCACCGTCAGAACGTCAGTCCTGCACAGCAGCACTAGGCCGCACGTGCTGGATGACCTCGGGCGAGCTCTTCACCTCTCTGAGCCTCAGCTTCCGCACCCATCAAAGGAGCCCAGCCACAGAGCCTCCCTCACAGGACACAGGCATGAGGGCTGCACGTGGTAACGGAGGGCACATCTGTAAGCAGCTGGGGTGCTCACGTGAGCTGGGATGTTGAGAAAGCTCCCACTGAAACACAGCACCTGGAGAATGTGCTCCAATTGGCAGCGTCCAGCTTGAGGGACTTTCACCAGGGGACACCCCGGCGGCCAGCACCACTCTAAGCAGAGCACCGTCTGCTCCCAGAGCTGCCTGTGCTCGAGCCTGGCATGACCCCTCCCTCAGGTTACCCTCCACCCTGACACCAAACACCATCCCGCAGATGAGCCGCGCCCACTGAAGCGACGAAAGCTCCGGCATCACCAGTTCGTGTGGCTACCTCTGCTCAACATTACATTTGTGGTGTGGCAGTGCCGAGTTCATTCTCATTGCTCCAGAACATTCCACTACATGAACACACCATGTGCCTATCCTAAAATTGACGCTTTAGGCTGTTTTGTGGTAACAATGGCAACAGCGTTGGCCCTATGGGCAGGGTTGGCCCTTGGGTCCTCCTTGGTCCTGGACTTCGAGGGCAGAACTCACAATTACCTGAGAACTGTTGTGTGCGCACACATGTGTTTCTCTGGGGCTAGAGTCAGTGTGCATTAAGCTCTCAAGGGGTTCTGTGACCCAAACAAGTTCAGACCCAAGTTTAAGTTCAGGTGATTACAAGGAAGAATCTTATTTGGGAGAAGGGTCTTACAACACACTGTCAAAGAGGCTGCTGTGTCAATTCCGCGACCAGTCCACGTCCGACACAGAGGCTGTCGTTAAAACCATCCCGCCCTCTCTCAGACCTGAGAGCTGTCACTCATGCCCGCGGAGAAGCTGGACTTAGGCGAGCGGGGGCCCAGTGATGGTTCAACCACTACAGACTGCAGCCAGCCTGGACTCAGCCTTCTCCTCGGTGAAGCGAGGGGAGACCTGACCTCGGCTTGCGCAAGCGGCTTCCTGCAAACCCGTCCCAGGCAGCGTCTTCACCTCCACCCCGCGGCGCACACCCGTCCTGCGCCCAAGGCCTCGGGGGAGGAGGTTCACGCATCGCTGTGCCTTATGAGCAGGATCCGTACCTCTGACAAGCCTGCTGGCTTAATAAGTATCATTACCACAGGGCGCCGCTCACTGCCCCGACTCCACTTCCTGGCTGTCAGCGGTGTCAGATGGAGACCCAGATGAGAAAGTCAGCCCCCGCCTGGGGGCTGGGAGAGGCCGAGGCGGGGCCCAGGGTGGTATTTCCATGCCCTCGCAGGCAGCAGGCCCTGCTTGTCCTCATACACACAAAGCAATGGCGCCTGGCGTGGTGAACACAGCGCGGGGTGTCTCGGGGCTGAGGGCAGCGGCAGAAAGTGAGTTCAAAGGCGAAGGGAGAGAGCACCAGCGGAGGGATGAACTCTCTCAGGCCAGCGAGGAACTGGGACATGACACCTCCCATTTCCATGATGCTGGGCGGCCTGACAGTGGACTCAGCCCTCGGGCTGTCTTCCTTGCCATGCCAGTCAGCAGTGGCCCTACTAAGAGCACCACTGACAAGAGCTGGGCTGCTGGCAAGGAAGTGTCAAGGGCACAGGAAGGGCTGGAGACGAGGGCAGGGCAAGTGCCTGAGAACGGCCGGCCGAGGTGACACAGGCCGCAGGATCCTGCTGGGATCCTGCCATTGTTCTGCCCCATAAAACCCAACACGGGGCCTCCAGCCCCTCCAGAAAGCAAGGGCGCCCTCCCTCCGACCCACACCACAGCTCTG